GCGTGGTTGGTGGCAGCGGTGTTCAGCACGTCCCTCTTGCCCATTCAGAACAACGTCAAGGACCTCAAGACCAGTCGCATAATCTACGCGGAGAAGGGCAGGGCGCAGGGCAGAGGACACGCTTTCTGGCCACCAGAGGGGCCACCCTTCATGACACTGTTTATGACCCTCTGTTTAGAGGACGTGGGAGGCCAATCGAGAGTGCCACTCACGGAGCACGGCCAGTTCCTGGACCAGATCAACGCAGCGACGGTACTTCGCAAAGTCTAATACATCAAACTCAACAAGGGCTCCGCGTCCTATCAAGCGTTGCTCACGCTGCTCATCGTGCAGGGCCCCAAGACGGACGCAGAGAACGAGGAGATACCGACGGTGGAGCTGCTGCTGCGGCTCAGCACCAGGATACTATTCTCCACACACCACTGCAGACAGGTGCGGTGGTCAAGGAGGGCAAGGCACCAGTGGAAGTCAGGGACGTTGAGCTGGCTGCATGGTCAGCAGGACAGTGAATTTGTATGGAGGCCGACTTATCTACGCCATGGTCGGTTTTAAGCTCGGCGTGCGCGACGCCGTGAGCTGAGTGAAGGCGCCCGCGCTGTGCGAGCGACGGCGGGGGCTAGAGCACGAGGCACGCGCCAGACTCCGCCCCCCGAGGCCGCTCTTCTTCTTCTTCTTTTTCCTCCTCCTGCTGCTCCTCCTCCACTTCCTCCACTTCCTCCTCCTCCTCCTCCTCCTCCTCCTCCTCCTCCTCCTCCTACTTCCCCCCTCGGCCCAACGGCCGTCCCACGCCGACTCGAATTGCCACGGAGGCAAGCGCGGGCCCCGATGGGCACGGGCCCTGGGCGCCAGGGGGCTTCCCCCAAGGCCAGCTCTTCCTCCCGAGGCCCTCTTGTCACGGCCCTGGTGGCCCGCGCAGGGCCCCCCCGAGGCCGGCGGAACACCTCTGAGGCCCGTTTCCCTAGGGGGGGGGGGCTTCATATGTGCTTCTCGATTCTTTCCGACCTTCTCCCCCTCCACTGAGAATGAAGGGCAAATTGGGGCCTTCGGGTTGGGTTGGGGTGGTTTGGTGGGTGGTGATTCGTTTGTCGGCGCGCCGAGGGAGGGGGGAAGGCTTCTTAAAAGAGGCTGCTTCTCAGAAGGAGCCAGCCCCACATCTACAGAGGCCCGCCTCTTCTGAGAAGCAGGTGTGCTTCTGAGAAGCCTTCCCCCCTCCCCCTACCCCCCTTCTGCGCGTGGCTGTTTTTTTTTGTGGCAGCAGGGATCTCGGGGGCTTCCAAATCGGTAAGGCGCCCAAGCCGTGCGGTGAATCACTGGGGTTCGGGGTGGCCGCATGCTGGGACCTGGGCCGCTCTCCGGGGACATCTCAGGCAACTGGGGCCTCCAAGGTCCCCAAACGGTGCGGTGACAAACCGTGCGGTGAAGTCTTTGGGGGATTCCAAGGTCACAGCGAGGTCTGCCTAGAAGAAGAAACAACACCATAGTAGAGATTCATGTTCGGAGGCCCGCGTAGATTTCTTGGACCGGCGCTGGAGGCGCCGCCAGGAGGGTTCCAGCGCAGATCCATGACCGCGCGGGCCCCCGAAATGTCACCGCTCGAAGATTCTCGGCACACGTGTCAGCGCCAACGCTTGCTTGTCCGCCTTGGCCCTTCAGGCGGTGCAGTGAGGGCCAGCAACAGCTGCGTGCCATTGATGGCGCGCAACGGGGTAACCACACACACACACACGCACGCACGCACGCACGCACGCACGCACGCACGCACGCACGCACGCACGCACGCACGCACGCGCGCGCGCACGCACGCACGCACGCACGCACGCACGCACGCACGCACGCACGCACGCACGCACGCACGCACGCACGCACGCACGCACGCACACACACACACATTGGAAAACCATGCGTCCTGGGTATCATCTAACCGCACCGTCTGAGGACGGTGAACTGATCTTTGGAAACGCGGACTGTGTCTAAGCAAGCGTGTTGAAACCTATGGGCGGGGCCACGCGCCGTCTAAATCACAAAAGCGACCCCGGCCCGTTGACGACACCTGCTCTAAAGAGTTGCTGCCTTGAACGACCCCCCCGTCTCGGACAGGAGAACGGCATCCCGGCAAGGACAAGTATGGTCAAACGGCCGCACTGCCATCCCAGCCCTTGTTTTCAGACGAGCCGCTGCTGACACAGATTCGGCCTCTTGGGACAACGGCCTGCTTCGGCTTCGGGCCCGTTTCGGCTTTCGGCCTGCTTCGGCCCATTTCGGCCTCGGCCTGTCTCGCCTCGGCCCGCCACGGCTCGGGCATGAGCTGAAAAACGAACCAGGACGCCACGGGCCGAAGCCGAATCGGGCCGAGGCCGAACCAGGCCAGAACCAGAGCTGACCCATTGAGTGAAGTCGGGCACGTCCCTCTAGAGGAGGAGTATTCGAAAATCCGCCGACCCTGCCGGCGTGTGCGAGGGGCTTGGCTGTTCGAGCCGTCGTCTCCGTCGGTCGTCGCCTCCGTCGCCCCATTTCCATGCAGCTTCCTTCTCAAGCTCGTGAGCGAGAGAAAAATCTAGCAGTGTCGTAATCGAGTCGAAGGGAAGCCCCTTCCCTTCGATCCCTTCCCCGGGGGGGGGGGTCCCGGGGGGTGGGGGGGGGTGGGGGGGGCAGATTCGTTTTCCCTCGGGCGGCCTCGACGCCTCGAAAACACTCCAAATGAGGTCCGAATGCCCAGAATGGCCCCCGAGACGGCCCAGGAGGGCCCCGAGTCGCCCACAGATCGGCCGAAAACGCCCACGATAGCCCCAAGACCGTCCAAGAAGCCTCCAAGACGTCCCAGGCCCCCTCCAAGAGACCCCCAGGAAGCCCCAAGAGGCCCCCACGAGGCTTCCAAGCGGTCCCTGAGAGCTTCCCAGGAGGCCCACAAACTACCCCCAAGAGGCCCCCAAGAGCGCTCGTCGTCGTCGTCGTCGTCGTCGCCATTCAGGGTCGGCGGCACCGGCCGTAAGGCCTTCGCAGTAGTCAAAAAGTAGCCTGGGGATGTTTTTCCCCACATGCTTCGTCGTGGGGTTCTGGTTTTCTTCCCTGCCGCGCCGCACCCGCGTCTCATACACCTCCCGCCTCCTCACCCACACACTCGCACACAGCCGCACGCATGCACACATTCGCACATACAAGACGCATGTTCACTGCATCATACACCCAAGACGTCTGCACGACATACTCGGCAACACGTGAGATATGTCCCGATATGGCCGCACACGCATCATACACATACACACGGCAAGCCATGCGGCAGGCGAGCAGGCGTGGCACTTCCTCGACACCATAGGGGGTGCGCAGAGGGTGGTCCCTCACCGGGGCCTCTATCCGTGACACGCTCGCAGGGCGTGGCAGGCGCGGCACTTTCTCGACACCGCTGGGGGGGCGCGAAGGGTGGTCCCTCAGCGGGGCCTCTATCCGTGACACGCTCGCAGGGCGTGGCAGGCGTGGCACTTCCTCGACACCATAGGGGGTGCGCAGGGGGTGGTCTCTCACCGCGGCCGCTATGCACGACAGTCGTCCAGGCACAGCAGGCGTGGCACTTTCTCGACACCACAGGGGGTGCGCAGGGGGTGGCCCCTGAGCGCGGCCGCTATCCGTGACACGCTCGCAGGGCGTGGCAGGCGCGGCACTTTCTCGACACCACTGGGGGGGCGCAGAGGGTGGTCCCTCAGCGGGGCCTCTATCCGTGACACGCTCGCAGGGCGTGGCAGGCGCGGCACATTCTCGACATCACATGGGGGTGCGCAGAGGGTGGTCCCTCAGTGCGGCCTCTATCCGTGACACGCTCGCAGAGCGTGGCAGGCGCGGCACTTTCTCGACACCACTGGGGGGGCGCAGAGGGTGGTCCCTCAGCGGGGCCTCTATCCGTGACACGCTCGCAGGGCGTGGCAGGCGCGGCACATTCTCGACACCACATGGGGGTGCGCAGAGGGTGGTCCCTCAGTGCGGCCTCTATCCGTGACACGCTCGCAGATCGTGTCAGGAGTGGCACTTTCTCGACACCACATGGGGGTGCGCAGAGGGTGGTCTCTCAGCGCGGCCTCTATCCGTGACACGCTCGCAGGGCGTGGCAGGCGTGGCACTTTCTCGACGCCACAGGGGGTGCGCAGAGGGTGGTGTCCCTCAGCGCGGCCTCTATCCGTGACACGCTCGCAGATCGTGGCAGGAGTGGCACTTTCTCGACACCACAGGGGGTGCGCAGAGGGTGGTGGTCCCTCAGCGCGGCCTCTATCCGTGACACGCTCGCAGATCGTGGCAGGAGTGGCACTTGCTCGACACCACAGGGGGTGCGCAGAGGGTGGTCCCTCAGCGCGGCCTCTATCCGTGACACGCTCGCAGATCTTGGCAGGAGTGGCACTTTCTCGACACCACAGGGGGTGCGCAGAGGGTGGTCCCTCAGCGCGGCCTCTATCCGTGACACGCTCGCAGATCGTGTCAGGAGTGGCACTTTCTCGGCACCACAGGAGGTGCGCAGAGGGTGGTCCCTCAGCGCGGCCGCTATGCACGACGGTCGTCCAGGGAATAGCAGGCGTGGCACTTTCTCGACGTCATAGAGGGTGCGCAGGGGGTGGTCCCTCACCGCGGCTGCTATGCACGACGGTCGTCCAGGGCATAGCAGGCGCGGCATTTTCTCGACACCATAGAGGCTGCGCAGGGGGTGGTCCCTCACCGCGGCCGCTACGCACGACGGTCGTCCAGGGCATAGCAGGCGTGGCACTTTCTCGACACCATCGAGGGTGCGCAGGGGGTAATTTGGGGTATTTTTGAACATGCGTTGAACACTTTCTGAGTATGTATAATTTGCCCCCCAAGGTCGCCCTGCAGGAGGACGCGCCCGACCTAACCATGGAGCCGAAGCGGGCTGGAGCCGAGCTCGGCCGGAGCCGAAAGCGGCCTCTTCCAAGGTCCGCCAGCGTCAACGCCACCCGGCCGGCGGGAGCAAGCGCGGGGCCTACCCCCCCCCCAAGCGGGGCCTTCGGGGAGCGGGCCCGGCACCGGGCCGTCGAAGCCGAGCCAGTGCGTCATCCTGCGCGCTCTCGGCAGCGGCGGCGGCGGCCCAGGCAGCGACGACGGCGACGCCGGCGGCGGCGGCCACGACGAAGGTGGGACACGATGGCGAGTTCTAGCATGAAGGAATCGGGAGGGACACGGGTGCTGGACCCAAGGCCCTTGGGCCTTCCCCCAGGTCGAAGTCTTCAGCCTCAATCGTTGCATGAAAACGGTGAGAACTTCAGGACCCGTTTCCTTCGGGGTGGCTCCGTGTGAAAGCTTTAAAGAAGAAGCCAGCAGGCAGGGCCACGCCAAATCCCCTCCACGCCACGGCTCCCGGGCAGGCAACGCCACAACAACCTGCTTGAGCCGGCAGCGTGTTCTGGCAAACGTTCTCCTACTCGTTACCAATACGCGTGCTGGAAGCCGCTTCGCAAGTCCATGGAAGATCCTTTGGAGTTCCTGCGAAGCCTCTCTTCGAGCTTGCACGGTCCTCAAACATCCTGTCCAGCGTCCTTACAAGCGCTCTTACAAGCCTTTCACGCCTCTTGGACTGCGTCGCTATCTGTTTTTTTTCCTGGATAGCTCTCTGAGGGCTGAGAAGGTTTCATATTAGAAGCCAGCAGCACAGGGTGGCCCGGCAGCTCTTTCCGGCGCCTGTCAAGCATCCCCGCAGCGGCTTGCTTGAAGCTGCAACTTGTCCCGAAAAACGTTTTACCACTCGTTCTCAATACGCGTGTTGGAAGCCTTTCCGCAGCTCTTTCGAAACTCCTCGGGAGCTCCATCGAGGCTCCTTCCTCGCGACTGCAAGCTCCCCAGGCATTATTTCAAGCATTCTTGCAATCGTCTCCAACAGGCATTTCACGCGCTTTGGATTGCGCCACTATCCTAATTTGTCCTGGATAGCTCCTTGGTAAGAGGGTTGTAGAATCAGAAGCCAGCACCGCAAGGTGGCCCTGGAGCTCGTTCCGGCTTCCGGCAAGACGCCTCGGCGAGACTTGCTTGAGCAATTTGTCCCGACAGACTTTCTCTTATTATTGCCCGAGATGTGTGCCTGGAAACTCTCCAGAAGCTTATCTGGAAGCTCATCCCCAAAGCTTCTAGAGCCATCTCTAGACGCTTTCGAAAGGTCTTTCTGGCGCTCCGCTAGCCGAAATTTGAACTTCACAAGTGGCGAGAGTTCGGAGGCAACTCCTGGGAGGTCTTCGTCAGAACGATGCAAGGCTACCAATCAAGAGGTCATTGAACCAAACAAGGCTGGATCAAACCCGGACACTAAGCCAAATTGAGCCAAGGATTGAGGGGGATGAAACAATATAAACCACATTCGGCCACTTTTCGACCAGGGATGCGCCAGCGCCGGTTCGGATTTTACCCTCCCAGGAGTTGCATCCCAGACGAGGGTCGGACGATGACGAGGGTCGGCCGACGACGACTACGATGACGACGACGGAGGCGACGACGGCGGCCGGCGGCGACGAGGGAAAGTTGACAGCGTGGGGAGGGCGAGAAGGTAGTGAGGGCGGCGGCGGCGATGAGGGGGGGAGGGGGACCGAGGAGGAGGAGGAGGAGGAGGAGGAGGAGGACGAGGAGGACGAGGACGAGGAAGACGAGGGCTGACGACGACAACGACGACGACGACGACGACGACGACGATCACGACGATCACGACGACGACGACGAGGGGGGGAGGGAAATATTGTCAGACTGTCGCTGGAGGCGGGGGCCCGCGCGCGGGGGGGAGGGGGGCGGAAGGCGGTCCTGCGCGGGACCAGCGGCTCCGCGGGCGCCGGGTCCGCCTCCGCACCACGAGACGCGCCGTGGTTCCGCGGGCGCCGCGGGCAGTGCCGGGGAGGCGGCGGGAGGGCGAGGAGTAACCCCAGGGAGGCGGGAGGGCAGGAAGCGGCCGAGAGGCGGGAGGGCGAGGGGGCGGGCGGGGGGAGGGGGGGAGTAACCCCGAGGAGGCGGGAGGGCGAGTAGGTGGGAGGGGGGGGGGAGGCGGCCGGTGCTGGGGAGGAGTCGGGCGGGCGAGGTCTTCGTCAGAACGATCAAGGGCTATTGAGCCCGATTCGAAAGCCATCGAACCCGATCAAGCCGGACGGAACCCACAAATCAACCGCATTAAGCGGGACTAAGACGGATGAAGCGGGATTACGCCGGATGACACGGCATTGGGCGAAATTAGGTCAGCTCTCGACCAAGGATGTACCAGCGCAGACTCTGAAGTTAATGCAACCTTCCACAGGAATTGTATCCTGAAGGAAGGCGAGGAACAAGGACAGTGGATGAAGAGGAGATGAGGAGGAAGCTAAAAGATAAGCAACCACATGTGAACCCAGACATGCTCGCGTCGTCGACAACTCACGATGGGAGATCCTTGGCCGTTTTCGGCCCCAGGAGTCCTTCGCCAGGCAGGCCCAGGGACTGTCATAAATCGACCTGGGATGAAAAACCAACACTGGGAAAAGGACCGAGACTTCCGGGGACCCCGTGCTGAGAAAATCAAGAAATCGCATGCCTGGGTAACGAGGGGGGAGGACAATAGGCGGATGAGCAACTATACGTGAACCCTACCCCAGCAAGTGAGGTTTCTGAAAAACCGGGGACAGGAGAGTGAGTCGGAGGGAGTCGGGTAACAGCGGGTAGTACTCGACAGAGGGAGGAAGAGACGGATGGAGGAGGGCGCGGGAGGAATATCAGGGAGGCATCAGGGAGTGGAGACGAAGGAGAACTGGGAGCAGAGAAGAGGAGGAGATGGGAGGAGAAAGTATGAGGGCCCAAGGACCCTTGTTGTACGACCGTTGGCGAAAATGAGGCTCCACTGCTCGATATCAACATGAGCCAAACGGTGACGTAAGAGATATCAATTCCCATGCACCTGAACAGGCTTATTCCACCCCAGTCGACCCGCGCGGTCCAGCACAATGACTGGCGGAATGTTAACAGCGGAGGCACGTCAAGAGTGCAGCGTTAAAGCCGCTTTAGCCCTGCCGTCCGAAATGGCGATCGGCTTTCGCTGGTGAGTTGAGACAGCAATGCACCTGGTACCAAGTGAAATTGGGCGTGGCTTCATGGGGGGGTCACAAATGGGGGGGTCAGAAACGGTCCCCTTTCGTGCCCCTTTCGGGCCCCTCCGGAGCCCCAGGGGGCTCGTTTAGGTACCGTTTGGGTACCTTTTCGGACCACGCTCGCCACCCCCCCATTTATGACCCCCCCATTACGCAACGCCCAATGAAACCCAATCTACCATAATGCCGGGTGGGCTCAACGGCTTGACTCGGCTAGTACATTCGCGCCGTTCGAAGGCTGTTAGCCTCAAACTCCATCGCGATACTGAACATACGTGTAGTGAGTCGCACATAGAGGTGCTTTACCAATGCTGAACTCCTGTTGCACAATGTTGTGCAAACTCATACTAATCACCTGGGGCAGAGGCTTCTCGATTGCGACTCTTTGCGGTGACGACGGGGCGCGGTCTCAGCGTAGGCCCTCTTGATCATCTCGCCCCCCCTGACATGGTGCGTGTCGTCCTCGTCGTCATCGGACAAGTCTGAGCTCATACAACACCTGAGTTGACGAGTGCCACATTCATGTTCAGCCGAATTGCTGAACGCGTGTTCGTGCGCCCGAGTGCAATCCAATTGGTGCGGCCCGGTAGCACGATGAGCGGTCTGCCTTCCGTGCCCGTCGGCGTGATTCTTCACCTCGTCCTGACGTCGGATTGACGATCCAGCGGCCTCCTGTGTACCACATCTTGCAGTCAACGGATGGGATGCATGCATACAACAACCACGTAACCTACCTTGCAGGCGCGTCTCCCGGTAACGCACGGATACCCTTCCAAATGCGCCTGTTCAACAACATGCGCGGATGACGGGACCACGCGCACCTGATAGCGGCTTGGAACTGGCAGACCACCCTGCTGTGGACTGTGACGTTGGGCTGGACTCAGGTAGAAGGTTCGAGTTGGCCGTAGCAGTTTTGAGTCGGCCAACGCCTTGTTCAAGAATATAGCCACTATGGTAATTACCTGCATGTGACCGCGCAATCGTTGCGGGGGTCCTCGAACATGTGCTTCCATCCGATTACTGCGGGCCTCCCGTATCATCATTCCCCGCACGAGGATGAACGAGCTTCAGGCCAGTATCTTGCACCTCTGGCAGGCTCTTTAGCCTGCTTGTCAACTAGAGCACGTGACACGCAGCGCTCATAGAAACAAACAATCACGAGGTACATCCTTCAGTTCTAACGAGGGCACGTGGTGCAAGCCGATGTTGTGCTGGGTGACGCTCGTTGCTCTGAACGCATCCTCGTGTTTGTATCCTGCGCTCATCAGGAAACATGTTGTACCATATCTCCGGTACCAGAAGCGCTGGGTAATGGGAGATATGGTCGTCGTTGTCGCCGTCGTCGCCTTCGCCGCTGCCACCATGGTTGTCGCCGGTGCCGTCGTCGCCATCAACCCAAACCTCCGATGTCATGATTTTGTTCATGACGTCGACCCCCAAAAATCTGGACCCCTTCCCCAGGACCGGTTTTTCATCCTGAATCGTTTTCTGACGGTCCCGAGGCCCAGCGAGGTCCCCCAGAGGCCGAAAATTGTGAAAAACCTCCCGACATGATTTTGTCATTGCTCGAGGGTTCTGGGAACGTCGCCGTCACCACCGCTCCCGTCGCCGTCACCGCCGCTGTCGCCGCCGTCGTCGCCGCCATCGCCGCCGCCGTCGCCCTCTGTCATGGGAAGGGGGATAGGGCGGAGCGCAGGCGCGGAGGAGGGAAAGCAGGCGTCGCAGTGGTGTAGGTAGGAGGAAGAGGAGGAAGAAAGAGAGGAGGAGGAGGGGGAGGAAGAGGAGGAAAGAGGAGGATGAGGAGGAAGACTCTGCTACTCTATTCGATCGGAGACCGTTCAACGCCAAAAAAAGAGTAAAAGAAGGATGAGGAGGATGAGGAGGAGGAGGCGAGGACCCATGCTTTTCGAGTCGTACGGAACTGCGCTCGCTTGGGGCCGCTCGGGACGATCCGGACACTCCTGGAACGCTCCCGGCGAGGCGCAGCTACTGGAAAACATCCCGATGCTGGGACACCGCCGAGGAGCGGCGAAACCGTTAGAGAAAAACAAACCTCGAACCCCCGCTCTGACCTGGACATGCGGCGTCTTGACTTTTGCAGTATCTCTCTCTCTATGTCTATGTCTATGTCTAAATCTATATCTCTCTCTCTATATATATGGACCCCGACCGAATGTCCGACCCTCTCTGAATAGGGCAAGCTGTTCGCCCCGAGTCGTTCTTTGACGGTCCTGGGGCCCGACGAGAGCCCGTGAAGGCCGAAATTGGCTTTTCACGGCATGAGCTGAAACACGCTGCTCTCGTCCCTGGGGCAGAGGAGGACGAGAGCCGCGACTGGGAGCAGGCTGCCCTCGTCTTACCGCGCAGGTGCTGCGGCGGGCTGCGGCAACGGCAGGCAAGACGGTCCACGCTGCTATCTGCGATGGCTCCAAGCATTCGAATTCCCTATCCGAAATTTGCAACAAAATGCAGCATCGCCAAAATCACAAACCCTATCTTTCTGCGTCATGTCTCGAGCCGGATCGATCTGTGAGGGTCCCGCGGGGACCGACGCCAGGCGGAGGCGCCAGTGGCAGCGCCAGGATGTGAGAATTGAGAAAAGCGGGGCGGCGATCACGACTCGATCAGGTCTGGGGAACCGGCTCTACCCTTCTGTTGCATCTTTGAGGGGGGCCGGGTCTGTCCCGTCGCGCCGCGATCCGTGCCGAATCCGCGTCGAATCCACGTCGGAGTCCAAGAGAAGACTGTCATCTACAGGACAGGAAAGGTCCCCCAAAGATGCAGCGTCCGCCTCCCCCCCTGAACTATGGACGCCCGAAATAAGTAGAGGAAACACAGTGCCCAAAAACAATTGTTCTCCAAAACAAACAACGACGGCCACCGTTGGGCAGACTGCCTCCTGTCTCAAATAGATCTCGTCCGCGGCGACACCGCCAGCGAGTCCTGTTCAAAATTAGCAGGAAATGGTCATGGTCTTTGTGCCCATTCTTTCTGTGCCCACCTCGATCATCCCGACCCCCTCCTCCCCCACCCGTCGGGGATCGACTGACCCGGACAAATGCAAACCCGGGCCAGCCGTGCTCTGCAGGATCAGGCGAAGTCCTGTACGATCATGCGCGCAACCCATTTCGATCGTCCCGCTCCTTCCTTATAAGACGAAACCAGGATGAGGAACAAATCTGGTGCGGATACATCGAGCATCTCTGAGATCCGGCGGCTCTGGAGGCTGTCTCGGGCGCCGCGGCCTCTTAGAGAGTTCCGGATCGCTCTAGAACGGATCTGTCCTCGTCCTAGCCCCGTCTGATCCGTACGTACAGTCAACCCGCATCGTAAGGATCGGCGACCTTCCGAAGGCAACCCTTGCAGCCTTGCCTCCTCGGTCTATCGTTGGCCGCTTTTGCTGGCCGCGCCCCGCTCGCAAAATCTCGAAACCGCCTGCAAAGGCCTTTGCACCCTTATGTGAGGGGCAACGATAGGGGGGGTCTGGTATAAGGGGGATGCATCGACCTGGAATCGGCGATACATCGCCGATAGACCAGCGATAGGCCTCCGATCGTGAACCCGCACCTCCCTGGGCCGGTTGCAGCTATCGGGCTTCTATCGGCGATCAGTGGGCGATTGAAGGTCGATGCGTCCCCCCCCCTATGCCCATCCACCCCTATCGCGGCCCCTGACTATCGTGCATCCTGATGACACGGGTCAAACTGTACTCATGTCGATGAACCCCCCGACCGGCGGCAACCGCGGGGGGCGCCGCCTGCGCGGCGGGCTCCGCCGCGGGGGCCTCCGCCGGGGGCTCGGCGGCGGCCGGCCTCTCCGCGCGACCGGGGGGGGGGGGGCGGGCGCAGCTGGGGGCGCCGCCAACCCTCCGTGGCGCCCCGCTGGTCCTCGGAGGAAGAAGGGGGATGGGGGACGAGGAGGGGGTGAACAGGGTGAACAAAGAATGGATCATGACCCCGCTCGTTCCGCGAAGGGGGGCGGCCCAACCCTGGCGCCTGGAACCGCAGACCGCGCCCAAAAGGCGCCCCCTGGGATCCCGCCACCCCCCACGCGCACGACGAGGAGGAGGAAGGGGGGGAAGGAGGAGGTCAAGGATCGATCAATCCATCAGCCCTCGGGCCGACACTGTCTCGACTAACGCGTGACTAGAGCATGGTATCAGTTAGTAGTCTAGTGCGGACTAGCAATGATCGCCTCGTCGGAAGGGGTCGCTGACGAAAATTGGCGTTCGGGTCCTACCTGCACCGTCCTCCCAAGGAAGAGACGGAGAAGGAGGAGGAGGAAGATAAGGAGGAGGAAGAGGAGGAGGAGGAAAAGTAAAGGAGGAGGGAGAGTAAAGGGAGCAGGAGGCGGAAAGGGATGAGTGACGAAAGACGAGGCTTCGCGCAACCGTCCGTCGAAACGGACAGCTGGCGGGACTTGCCGGGCGGCCGAGGACCTCAGAGGAGGCCGATGGAGGATTACGCCACGAGCAGCGCCATGAGCCCGCCCCCACGAGCGCCAAGACGGGCTATCAGAATAGCACAGCTCACCCGCCACTTTGACCCTACAACCTGGCTGGGTAAAGTAGGGAGCGTCGAACCCCCATCCCCACGAAGGGCCACACGGGCAGTAACAAACCTCTTCGATGCCGCCGCCGTGGACCACGACACGATGACGGCACAAGGGCGAGTTAGTGCATTGAAGCACGTCGATGGTCAATCACCGGTCGACGAACTAGCAGTCGTGGCGACACGGCCATCGCCATCACCAGGAACTGCAGGCAAGGTGAGCGAGACGTTCTCTTTCGGGTGCATACCCTTGAATCGCCTCTTGCGCCTCGAACCCTTGCCCTCACCACTCGGAACCCCGCCGCATTGTGCAATCAGCTGCTTGGGCACATCGCCGCCAGACCAAGCCGCACAAGCTTCACAGAAGACAACGGGACCCCCTCGTCGCAGTCGGCGACCGCTGCAAAGTACGACTACCGCGCCAACCCACCCAGAGACCAACGTATCACCGACATCCCCTGGGTCCTCGAGAGCAGCAGCAGCGTCTAACGCCTCCATCGCAAACTTACCAACTTCAGAGACTTGATAGGCCGCGCCACGGCCAAACTCGATCGTCGCCTCCGCGCAGAGGGCGTCCAATTTCGTTGGTTGGCACGGTGTTCCGGGAAAAAACTGCCAGGCCGCCTCCGATTTGCACGGCGTACGCCTCGCGCGCTGACAACGCACATATGAGCCACCCGCAAAATTCACGACAATGAGGGTGGTCACCTGCACAAGCCATATCCGATACGTATGTCTTCCGCCTCTCGTCAGGGACCTCGGGCTCCCACTTGCCAACCTTAAGAGTGCGCTGCATCGTCCAGCCGATGTAGTTAGGCCGCCACCTGCTTGGCGAACTGCAGCTCAACCTTGCAGATCTCCTCGTAGACCACGGGCGCCGCATGGGTGTCCGCACCGCGCCTTGCAAACAAGTCGGCCAGGTAGAGCAGCGGGCTGAGGCCCCGTTCCAAGCGCGCATCAATGCTCCGGTGGGCGGGGATCCAGACGACGGATGGCCGAGCCTCATGCGCCCTGACTCCTCCGAACTGCGGCGTGTTCGGGGATCTTCAAAACAATTGCAATGCAGGAAAAAAACTGCAACACAAGTCTTCGCAAACCTGGGTCGACGAATATGCGCGGCCGCCTCGCGGCCGCGAGCGGCTCGCTAACCCGGGTCAGCCAGAGAGGGTCTTCGCAGGAGCCTGCAGGATGCGGCGCCCTGGCTGACCCCGATTGCACTGACCCCCGTCTCTCAGGCCCCGACGTGCGCAGCAGCCGCCGACTCCGGCCCGGGCCCCAGGAGAGCAGCGTCCGACTCCAGCGCCAGCAGGTCCGCGAACACGCGCTGCAGGTTGGCGCAGAAGAGTCTCAGCGCCATCGGTAGAGCGCGCCGCTCCGACCCCCCAACGGTCTGCAGCGGGCGTGGGAGCGGCCCGCGCGCCGCCCTGATCGGGGGGCCCCGCTGCGAGAACTGCGCCGCGGCCCAGCCGCCCCTCCTGAGCTCAGGCATGGGCGCGGCTGGACCTGAGCCGTCCGTGAAAACGGCGCTGCCGAAGGAAGCCGTTGGCGTCCTCCATGTCGCTCCAGAAGCACGCGGGCAGGCCGAAGTTCGCCATGGGGTTCGTCGGCTGCATGCGCGGCAAGCAGACCCCCAGCTCGCCCGCGTCCCACGACTGGCCTTTGATCCGCTGCATGTCCATCGCCACGCGCGCGTGGATGGCCGCGAACCTCTCGGGAACAACACTGCCTGCCTCCTCCGCGTCGTCAGCAAACTCCAGCGCAGGCGCGTGCCCAACCAACCCGTGGCCCGACGCGTCGTTCGCATGGCCGCAGGCGAGGCTGGCTGGCGAAAGCACCGCATTGAATTGCAATCGCACATGGCCTGGCGCGACCTCGGCGCACCTGCCCAGTGGGCCCTCAGGTTGGCTGCATGGGGTCCTTCGCCGACAGCAGCCTTGGCAACGCCGACGCATTGCCGCAGCGCTCTCACCCGCAACTGCGCGTCGTCGCCGCGCGGGTGCTCGAGCCTGGCAGCGGTGCGCCCCCCTTGCCACCGTTCGATAGACACCGCCGGGTGACGTCGCAGAACCTTAGGGCTGATCGCCATGCGGTTGACCTCCTCATCTCTGTCGTTGACGAGGACACGGACAGGGGGCGAGTGCATGTACTAGTCAGTCCGCCACAGAGTGAGCATCTTCGAAGAGATAGGCCCATGCGCCCCCCTCCAAGTAGTCTTGACGTCGCCCGCCATTTTGGTAGTAAACGCGGCCCAGGCGCGGTGAATCCTACTGAGGGGTGTCCTCTGCCCCCGCACCCAAGCCGCATATTAGCAGACCAGATTGCACGTGGCGGCGTAGATCGGGTCGAACTCCTTTGCGCGCTGGCCAGGAAGAGAGGGGGGCTCGACGAACCAGTCCTCGTTCCCACCTCGACCAGCCTCAGCGCGGACAAAGCCGAGACGGCGTTCGCTTAGCCCAGCAACGCCAGCGCCACGACCAGCACTAGGCAAGAGCCCCGTCTTCCATGAGACTGCCAGCAGCCCCTTAGAACAGATTGAGCCTTCGGCGCCTCGAAAGCACGCCGGCAACTCTCTGGCGGGTGAGCTTCCTCGGCATCCGCTTGCCACGCAGGCCATGGCCGACATTATGAATCCAATTCTTACACGAGAGCCCCCCGGCAACGCCGTGATTTCGGCGCGCCGACGCCACCTTGGCACTGGGCGGAATGTAGCCCGACTTCCCCACCTGAATGGTGGCGCCGAGCATCTCGGCAACCTCGCGGAACCTCGTGCCTGCGGCACAGAAACACCTGACCTGGCCCCTGGGCTCGCCGATGCACTGCAGGCTTATGTCGTCGACCAGCGCCATCGGGGCGATGGGCGGTGATCGGGCCGAGTCGAGCAGCCTGCGCAGCAAGACCGACACCGAGAAAACTGCATGAAAACATCCAGCCATACTGCCTTGGAAAGCAATGGCAGACCCAACAGACAGAGCCGAAAACTCCCAGCCGACACGGCTGTCGGCACAGCTCGAGCAGCGCCCGCGCAAGCTTCAAATCCACGTCCATGGCGCGCGCCTCGTTGAGCAGGGCCTGCGGCTGCATTGTCTCGAAGAACCTGTTTGCGTCCATCATCGCCGTGGGGGTATGTAAGCTGACCGCCTCCGCTATCGCTGTCTCCAGGTTGAGTTCCAACGCAGAGTCCGTGGATGCACGGCCGGACCAGAGCCCCCAGAGACCAGCACTCGGATGCCTTCGAAGCCAATCCATCAGAACTGCGACACGCGTGCGCGACCACGCCCTGTTCAAGGAATTCATCTATGCGATGAGACGGCAGCCGCCACTGGGATTCGGCAGCCTCGCCATCTCGCGCCAAATCCGCGCTTCGGGCCAGGCGAACCAGTCCTGGCAGCGCGTGGGCCAAGAAGCCAACACGTATAAACATGAAAAGCGCGCGAACGCCAATGCGCCCAGGACCCGCCGCCGCCTTGGCAGAGAAAGAGGCCGCAACATTCTTGACCATGTCGGCCGTTATCCCGGGCAGCTTGGGCCAACGGCGCGAGCCTGCTGGAAACTCGAGCTGATCCAGTTAATGGCGCCTCCAAATCTGAGCCCGGAGCGCTATCTGCGTGCTGGCCACGTCAACGAAGCCGCCCCTGTTAAGAGCGCCACTGCCACCATATAGGAAGTCAAAAGAAAAAAGCAAGCTTCCTGTAGTGCTGCGGCTCAAGCGGGCGCATCAGCTCGAACAGGCGCAGCTCCCTCAGCGACCCCCGTGCGACCTGACGCCAATGGCGCATGGCCCACCTGGAGATCGCCGCCGTCGCATGCGCCTCTGGGCCAAGCCGAATGCGGCAAGCAGGAGGCACCCGCATAACCGTCTTCAGCTCGGTCGCGACCTCGCCTGCGCGCCCGCATAGCTGCTCGCGCACGGGGCCGACAACGTCGCGTCTGTCCAGCAGCTCTGCCTCGACGACGGCGAGGGCCTTGCCCCAAGCATCGGCCAGGCCCTGCGCCCGCGAGACCGAACGGACTGCAGCGGGAACTGGTGCCCAATCCTTAACGCTGCGCGCGCGTCCAGTCGGCAGCGCCGGTAGAACGCCAGTAGGCGCGACGGGCGCCCGCGCCTTGAGATCCAGGCCGTCGGCCGCCAGCTCCATGCGCGCGGGGAGATGGGGCGCGGTCGCGCCATCCTCCTGCTCCCGCGGCCCACGCGCCCTCGACGCCAAGTTCGAGCAAAGTATGACATGATCGATGGTGGTCGCCTTGTCTACCCGCGCAGGCAT